AAGGCAGTTACAAACACTGTACTTCAGTGAGTAATACCATTCAAGTCATGTGCAACCACTTGGGCTCTAATCCTGCAAATATTTACTCACATTCTTCATGTTATGCACTGTGACTAGTCTGACTGACGTCAGTGGAGCTACTCGCATTGCATAAAGCTAAATGTATACAATCTTTGCAGTATTGGGAGCTTACTACCTACTGAGTGTAGTGCTAGCGACTATGATTAGTCCCATTGAAGTCATTGCAATAAGCACTGCATCCAGTAGTAAATGTTTAAGAATGGAGTTTAGACACCTTAGACAGCAAAAATTTGTTGGTTTTAGTTTTACTATAGCTCCTGAACTGTCTAATCCATTTTAAATTGAAGAACTAGTTCCATTTCGCAGTTTGCAACATTCTGGGGCATTAAATTATTATAATAGTACAGTATTTTGCATCTAATCTCATGGTCTGACCAAGACTGGTCCTTCTTCAAATATTGAGAAGTGCTTGACAAAGCTTGATACATGTCTGAACAGTATATTCTTCACTCATTTTTATCTTAGCGATATATATCACAAGCAGCCCTATAATATGCAGTAACTGTGAAAATGATATACAATTTCCTCCAAATTCCTGATTAACATACCAAGACTTACTCAACAGATGTTTAGCACCGATGATACACAGAAAACAAGACAGGTGCAAGAGTTACAACTTGTTCCTCCAGGTCTCATAGAAGAACAAGAAGTTCTTGACGTTCCTCTTTCTCCCTTATTAGCACAACAGTGTAACTGTACTATACTCTGTTGTAACAATCAGTATACTTTAGCACACACTTCCAATAACAAGATGCATTATTGATCAAGACATGCAGGAAAATAATACAGACATAGGGACAGATTTTAAAGTCCAAATTTATTAAATTAGAGGGCTAACACCCTCCCAATTCCAAATACCAGGCATTTATTTTGGTATAGTGTGGTGTCAAATGGCCTCCATGCTAAATATGTAGGCTTGGCAGAATTCAGTGTTGATATTTTCATAATTTAAATGGATAATATCAATGTTTATTTTTAAGCATCTTTTTCTATTTTTATCAATTTAAAATTTTCACAGTTGTGCAGAATTCTGGATTTTGTTACCTCAAGGGGAAGAAGGTAACGCTTCAAAGGAAATACTAGAGAGATGGTAGAGGGAAGATGTAACAGGGAAAGCCCCTTTTCTCAGAAGCACAGACTCGGCTCCCTTCCATGTCTGTCACCGGTGGATTTAGCTACCCATGAAATAGAATAAAATAAAGAGAAGACAAGATAATATGGTGCAAATAAAGGTAAATGTATTAGGGATAAAAGGTACAGAAAACTGGGAAGAAAGGGGGGGAGAAATACAAGAATAACACAGTAAAACGGCAAAACCATGACTCAGTAAAACAGTGAATCAGTGACTGACTCTAAGAGCTTGGAGCTCAGGCCCATAAACCCTCCCGTGGGATTCTACAAAACAATAAACAATACCCCAACACAGAAACCTTTCTCCTATTGCTCTGATGCAGCAGATGTCATGTACAGGCGTGATGCCCAGGACCTACAACTCTTGGACTGATTTAGAGACCCTGAGAGGAACACTGGGGAGTCCAGACTACTGATGTTTCTCGTCGCTGGCGAGGAGACCCTCTAGGATGATGGACACCAGGAAATGCAAGATATAGAAATGACGATGAGAGGATTCCTCTTCCTCAAACACACTGCGGGATAGATGATGTTCTTCGATCTCAGCTCTGGAGCTCTGCGAAGACCCAACCGTGTACGAGCTGTCGCTGGAATGGACAGCCCCGCGCAGGCGCTGAACAAGTCCTTATAAAGCCTTTTTGGCGGGAAGAGTTCTGAGGTGATGGAACGCTTCTGAGGTGATGGAACACTTAGGGTTAGACTTGGCGGGAAAAACCGGTTCTGACTGGTTTGAGCTACAGTCTTTGTGGTAAACAAGTCCTCTTTCAAAGATGGAGTTCAAAGTCAGAGTTCATATACTCCATTTTGAATTTCAGTTTAAAATCAGTGATTCACTTCAGTATTTCAAAAACATTTTATTAACAGCTCATTGAAACAGTACATTCCATCTAACAGTTTCAAGCATTTTTTTTTCAATTTTTATCAATTCAAATGTTCACAGTTACAGGAATTCATGGTAACATTCAGATAACACTACTCTACAGCCAAAATACTTCTGAAATAAATGTAGTCAAACTTTACTAATTCTGGGTCACTGAGAACAAAAATGATGCTTAAAATTGTTGATTGGCTCTAGTTTTCAAGATATGCTATTGGGTCAGTATATACGACCCTTGACTTGGGAATGGCAGAGGATAAGTGAGTTATAAAGGGAAGGGATCTCAATTTAAACCAGAAATGACTAAAATACATCTTTGACTGGATCTATGAATAAATCTATGACTGGGTTTGGACAGTACTTGCTTTTTAGGCAAAA